GACCACGCAGCAGAAGGAGAACGATGTTCTGCTGAAGTGGCCAGCGTTGCTGATGACATCGACAGCGACCAGTACACGCAGCTGTTCATGGACCATCTGGGCGTTGCGGCCAATGGCAGCGTCAATTCACAGGCGCCGACCTGGATCTCGGCACACCTGATGACGACAGTGATGCGCCGCTGCTTTGCCGAGCCCCTGGGCGCCCTGCGTGCTGCCCGCCGGACCTGTGTTTGCCCCGCGCGTTATTGAGCTTATGCTTGTGAGCTGCGGCCTGGCCAATGCACACGCTCCTGCACCCGGCCTGCTGCCGCACCTGACGCGCCCGTGTTGATGCGAAACACAAAGATTTTGACGCAGAGTGACGCCTGGGACCTTGTCAACATTGCTCTGCGTCGCTGCCCCGATCTGCCTGAGGGCCAGGTCATTGGTGTGCTGCAGTTCCAGCTTGACCATTACACACAGTATCTGCCACAGCTGTTTGTCAGCTCCGAGGATGCGCAGATGGACGACGATCTAAAGAGAATCGAGAACGACATCGCGCTGGTGGTGGCTGCGATCGTGGAGATCTTGGGAGACCACGACGCCTTGCGTACTGCGCTGGCGGAGCTGTCTATGGACCACGTCGCCTGCATTGTGCGACTGCTGTGTGGTCTGGATGGACTCGTGGACTAAGCTTGGTGCCAATGTCGAACTGGCTGCCAGCTCCAAGTTTGTGTCGACCACCACTGTGGACCGCCTGCGTGGACTGATCGATGCTGCCGACGCCGACGAAGACAGCAAGCTGTCGCCAGTCGCTCAGACTCTTTCTCAGGCCAGCTCGCAAAAGCCTGCATCATTGGATGGGTCCCCTCTGTCGATGCCGCCCTGACTCTCTTCAAGCAGCCCGCAACGCCACTAACAAGGCCGGCAACGGCAGCAAGTCTTTGGCTCGCGAGCTGACACGCGACTGGGCACCGCAGCTGACCCTGCCTGAGTCTCTGGTAGGCGTGCCTGAGCTCAGCCGTGTCGTTGACTTTGTTTCGCTGTTCCTGGACGCCCATGTGCGGCGCATTCTGCTGACTAGCGACATGCATGTTTTGGTTGAGCAGCTGGCCGTCACCACCAGCCAGGCCCTGGCTGTGTCTGAGCAGCTCCGGGTGCTGGCTGTGGGCTTGCTGCCGTTCAACATTATCTGGGAGGATCAGCAGGCTGAGCGCGTCGCCAAGGATCTGGAGCTGCAGCGGCGTGAGCTGGGCCTGGAGGAGATTGTCACGCGCAATGGCCTGACGCGCACTGAGATGGAGAGCCGCAGCAATTTGCCTGCGTCCAAGCTCAGGCCCCAGGGCGCGGCGAGGGCGGCGTGTACTGGGAGCGCGTGCAGAAGCTGGAGCGGTACCGCGTCGAGGTCATGCACTGGTAAAGCGGGCCTCAGTTCTCTTATGGATTTCTTTCTTTCATTTCAAAAATATAAGTGTCAGTCTTCAGTTATTCCGGTCCATGCTCCTGGACCAAAAAACCGTCGAGTGGGCCGGCGTCGGCGTCGAATTCGAGCTCGCATAGCCCACCGGCTGGGGCGTCACAATATCGTCCTGCGCTTCGCTCTCGGAGTTGTCCAGGTGCTCCGGTAGCGTATAGATCGCACGCGAATTAAGGCCTCTGGAGATCACCGACGAGCTGGTCGTCGATCCGTCATCGGTGGCACTGTCGATTCCGCCAGAAACGCCGCCCGTCGCTGCCACGCTGCCTGCTGACGTGCCCTCCGACGCCATGCTGGACGGCGGCGAGCCCGCACTGACCTTACCACCTACATGCGAGGCCTCTCGGTGGTGCGAACGTCGCTTTGGCCGCCGCTCGCTGGTGCGGAAGCTGCTCATGCCAGACGAATTCTTGCGCTGGCGGTCGCGTTTCGCCCGCTCCTGCTGTCTCCGCTTAGCAGCATCGCGCTTCCGGTAATATGTGGTGCGAAAGTCCCAGTACCCGTCGCGCAGCTGTCGCGGAACGAGGGGAAAAACGACATGTGCGATTCCGCCACTGCCGTTTGCTTCGCGGGGCTGCTGGTCGGCGGTGCTGGTCATGGAGGTGCGTACAAGCGGACTGGCTTCGAAGCGCATCCGGAATTGGTGCATGACGCGGTTGCATTGCGCAGAGTATTTGATCGATTGCAGAAACTTTTGGGTTGCTGACAATGTGGTAAATGCAGTACGCCGACCCGCCGCTCAGCAGCTTGCAGGTGAACTTGTACGACTGCGTGCTGACAAAGCCAAACCATGCAAAGTACACCACCAGGATCCCGAATCCGACGATCTGGGCTACAGCACGGACACAATCGGTTAGAAAAACATCAACAGTTCCATATGCAAGATGTGTTTTTCTGGTCTGAGCCAAACATCCAGGCGACGACATCACTTTCCTGTGCGCGTGCATGCCAAGGATATCCGTAAGCAGCGGAGAATGCAACATGCCATCCCCCACCGCTCTCTCTTCCCAAGAAAGGCGGGCTTACCCAAGTAGCTGCGTTTCTTCTTTTGCAGCCGCCGGTAGTTTTGCCTTCAGCCGCTCCTCGAATATCAACCAGTCCTCTGTACACGTGTGGATCGACTGGCGCCCCTGTCCTTGCGCACTGTAGCACCGTCAGTCCGTGTGTGTGCTGTTGTCGTGGTGACGGCGTCGATGCATTGGCAGCTGCCTGGTATATGGTAGAAAGGCTGCCCGATGCTTTTGTCGTGGCGAACTGCCGTGCATACATGGTCGTCAGTTCCCCAGCTGTCAGCAGCGCTGAGGGCTTCGCTGGCTTACTGTACCGCCCTGTCCAACGGAGGGTCCCGCCGTATTAGTGATACTGCTGTTGGCTGAACTGAATGCCGGTCGTGTGCAGCGACTCATTAGTGATAGAGGAAATAGGCGAATTGCTCATGGTGTGTATGTTGAAAAAGTACAAAGTGTATAGAGGAGGAGGGTGAGGTAATATAGTCTGAGGGTGTTTGCACTAAGCGCTTTCCAAATTGACAACACGCATTTGCTCGGCTCAAAAGTCGTTTGTGCGTGGGAGATAATGAATATAAGGTCGAGGGCGGGCAGGAAGGGAGAGGCGGAGGGACTGGGAAAGGTAGAGGCAGGAGTGGTGGGATTTTAGAACGAGAAATGTGCTTGACGTTAGGAAACAAAACACGCTCTGTGAACTCGCAAATCCCAGCCTACGACGTGGAGTATTCAGATGGCCACGAAGCGGCTTTCACGTGCCGTAGCAAGTATGCGGCACCTGCCACCGAGCCGCGACTCCAAAACCAACCGCGAGCCACGGCTTGCATCTGGTCTTTGCGCCGATTGCTGTGGGGCTGGGCCCGATTTTCAAACCACGCCTTGTCTCAGGCTCTTTTCCACAGAGTCTTTCTGAAACCAATTTTTCTTTTCTTTTCCCAAACTCAAAGTGAGTATACCTGTTCGCCGGCGATTTTTTCTCCTCCTCCGCCAAAGATGAATCCCCTCATTAGACAACTAACCACCCGGACCCGCCCTGCCTCCTTGCGATTCCTCCATAAGCACTCTTCAAACAATGGGCGTCCAGCGCGAGACCATTCAGGCCGGCGACGGCAAGACCTTCCCCAAGCCCGGCGACACCGTCACCATGCACTACACCGGCACGCTTGCTGATGGCACCAAGTTTGACTCGTCGCGCGACCGCAACCAGCCGTTTGTGTGCTCGATCGGCGTCGGTCCAGCTCATCAAGGGCTGGGACCAGGGTGTCCCGCAGATGACCGTTGGCGAGCGGCGCCAAGCTCACCATTCACCCCGGACTTTGGCTACGGTGCGCGCGGCGTCCCTGGTGTCATCCCGCCCAACGCGGACCTGATTTTCGACGTTGAGCTCATCCGTATCAACTAAACAGGCACATATTACTGTCATTATTTGCTCTTCATTGTTGCCGCAAATACATTGACGTAATCGGATAAGGGGACAGGCTGGCAGGCTTTCCAAATGAGTGAGGGAAATGGATTTATATGATCTGGAATTGGCGAGACGGATCTGGGCAATGTCGCCATGAAGCTCCAGAGTGCCAGATGGAGATGGCGGCAGGATTAGGCGGGCCGTGGTGATTTCGAACATCCACCAACCTGGATAGATTAATGGATGCGCTCTACCGATCCGATGCCTGAAGATCTCCAGTCAGAAGTGGCCAGAATCCAGCTATTTAGCAAGGCCTTCCAGCACATTTGGTCGTGCATAGCTTGCTGGAGTATGTTTAGAAAGTTTGACGATTTTATCAGCAATTGGAAGTGGTCTTCTGGACAAGGCTACCACCCACTATTGTATAAAAAGCGCCCCTGATACAGCAACGCGCCCCTGCCCAACCACACACTAGTTGTCCCTAGCACCCTTGCATACTTGCTTCTTCTAGTTTCCGTGCAGTTACAGAATGGATGATAGAATTTGAACCGTTGTCTCGCAGACGTGGTTCCAGGTCGACGAGCCTGATTATAAAATGCTCACCTCAAGATTCGATGCAGAGTCTGGCAACTGGACCACTGTTTTGAACAGCACCACCAACAGGCTGATACTTATTGTCCGCGCACCTAACTTCACCAAGCTCTTTAACAGGAGCCAAGCGTTGGTCCATACCCTTCCCATTTGATAACTGGGAACTGGGAACTTGGTGACTTTATCCGAACTTGGCCCAACATATCAGTGCTAATGATGACTGATACTTCCAGCATGCAGTACCTGCTCTCGAGCACACAAGAGTAGTGATCAAAATTCAGCCAGAAGCCCAAGGATATGAGAGTTGTTCTCAACTCAATCCAAGAAATAACATCGGACGACAGGTACATTATTTACAGCAACACCATGGTCAACAACACACATATATCATACTCAATTGACTACTGCAACAATACAGAGCAGAGAGCGCTATATAGAGAAAACTATTGAAAGGTCAAGCATCCCGATATAGAGTCCCATCTTAGGGCAACTGGCACTGGTATGACCGGCGCTACCTATGACATGTCGTGGAGTGCTACAGACAACGGATATACAACATCTATCCTTGAGTCAAGCGAAACCAATTACGCCCTAGGATTCAGGATTTCCACATAGTGCAGAGTGGAGATATATATCGCCACCATCAAGTTCACAGTCATGCAGAGTGTACAAGATGGTAACCTCGGTATTGGCAAATCTACGGGATCCGTGCTCAGCGGCTGTATTCTTACTACCGATGGCAAGCAAAATTACAGACAGGATGTTATATTCAGCAAGAACCTTACAATGTCGGCAACGAAACGAGGATACAGAAATGCGGTTCGAAATAATTTTTCAAGAATCTCGCAAGGCACTGCCACTCTGCACATACATTCTTCGCTGAGCCAAGATTTGCCATCATCGAGGTCCCTAGGAAGACTGTGCACTATGAGGAAGGCTATCCTATCAAAACATCTGGGCTGACTATTCGTGGCATACTGGCTGGTATGGCAATCCTCTGTCTCGTTCCACGACTAATTATGAAGCGGTTCAGGGCGCATTCAAGCCATACGCTGGATGTTGTTGCTGCAACAGCCATTGGTACAGAGGACATGAACTCCACTCGGCTGCGGAGACTACCTGAAATCCACGCCAACCTAGAAGGCAACTACAAGGCCGGATACAGCCTTGTTCTTAGCAACTGCGACAACTATGCAAAGCGGCGGGTCACGCTTGAATTGCTTCACGAGTAAGACATAAAACACATTTACAACCATTCTTCGCGAATCTCATCTTTCGTCTAGTTTGCATGTTGTGTTAAATAAACATGCGCCTATTTTCACATGCTCTGCGGACCGTGGTTTGCATGTCGTAAGGGCTATTTTTAGGAAATCGGCGCTGAGGATAATGCCAATCCCACCGGTCATCAATGGTTTGGCTTCCGATGGACAAACACTGGGATGTAGGAGCACACCCGAACACCATGATATTTTGCAATCGACATCAGGCTGGATCCACATACACCGATGTTCCTTTCAATATTCACATATACCCATTGCATTCAGATGCTCCGGCATTTCGGGTTTATCACTGTTTCATAATCAGCTAGTAGATTGGGCTGCCGGCTGCTCCCATTATCAGCGAAATATTGGTATACAGGAACACTCTGAGCAGATTGTTCCTGCGAGCCGGCATTGCTCACTGGGGAGATTGCATTACACACGTCTATTTACCTTGTCAACAACCTCTACCCTTGTTTGCAAGCATGCCAAGGGCTGCGAAGAAAAAAGAAAGCGAGGGGTCGAAGCCTCGCATCAGGAAGAAGAGGAATAAGCCTACCGGGGGTGCTCCTGAAAAGTCTCCCTATGGCTGTCTGCGCTGCATACTACTCAGGACTGACTGCGACAAAGTGATTCCACAATGCGCTGCGTGCAAGGATGCTTCGGTTGACTGTATGAGTTTCAGGCCCAGCATCAGCGACAGCCTGCTAAAGACCTTGCCTGATAGCTGTGTGCATGGAAATTATTCTTCGGAACAGGCTGCAAAGCAGAGACCAGTTGTTCACCTTAGAAACATGATTGGTGCGGACGACTTCCTGTCAGAGGAGCCCAGAATCGCTCTGCCCGAGGATCTCAGTTGTGTAACCAAAAACCCGCACAGGACCAAAGTCAGCGCAGATGTGCTCGAGAGCCTGATGTCGGGCCCGCTGAAGAGCGCTATCGAGAGGGGGCGCAGTAAAACGAGTCTGGACGATGAGCCGCTCGTGCTGCCGTCCTCACAGCTGCTCGAATGCATCAACCGGTCAATCACAAAGTACGAGGCTGAGAGGCAGCGGCCAGCCGACCTGAACGAGGCCATGAGCGGCAGCGCTCTGCTGGCATTGGGTAAGTACTCATTACTATCCCCTTGCTCCAAAAGCAGGGAGGTGAGTGGTGCTGATCAGTGTTCATTTGTCTACTTATCTCTGGCGCCATCCGGGCAATTGTAGGAGTCATCGTCCAGGAGCACTGCCGGCTCATGCTCGAGTGAATGGGTGGGAAGTTTTGAAACATTCGTGATAGCCCTTTGACTTTTTGCTTTCATCATCCACATGTGCCCAGATTCCGAACGTAAATGGCGCCACCTGCCTGTCGGCCTTTGACCCAGCTGCGCTGCAATGCCGGCACTGAATATCCTTTGCAAATTGTGATCTGCTAGATGTTCACAATAAATTGTTGGGTTGTAGGCATGGGGGATCCGTCGGGTGAGAAGCCAAGCCGCTGCCTTGGCAGAGCCAGGGGTGCTGGGAGTTGGAAAGGGCATAGCTGGCTCTTTCTAAAAATATGTCTGTCAGCATTGACGGGATACAAGGGATGTCTGTGCCGATCGCCCTCCTGCTGAAGCCGTTTTTAGTCTGAAAGCCCGCCTGTGGAGACAAAGCACCTGTGGCCATGTGTGGTCAGCCTCTGGCATCCGCTGTCCGCGAGGTGAGGCTGTGTGGGCAGAGAAAGACCCGGGACATGTCGCTGAGGGGCTTGGCTGAACGTGCCGCACCTGGGCTGCCCGCATACGGTAAAGGAAGTGCCGGCCCGGGATCTGTCACCAGGGCCGTGTTTGGAAATAGGGAAGGGCAGACCCCTCCCGGCTAGCTGCATGGAGGAAAGGCCCTACATTTCCGCGCGCACCTCCCCAAAGTTTTTCATTGCCAGACGGGCGCATGGAAACAGGTGATCGTCGCTGAAGATGCACATGCCGTTAATTGCCCCCCTTTGCGATGGTTTTTTTTGCTTTACAGTTGCTACAGAGTTCACTTTCACCTTCACTTTCACTCTGCACACTTTATTATTGCATTCTTCTACCACGCC